TTCGCCGTCATTTACATAGAAAAATACCCTCAATTACCCATACTTGGTCACGCTACGTCCTCAGCATGTGATGGTTCTCTGTTTTTTTCCAGAAAAAAATAAAACTTTATCGATAGTAATATTGAAACAGTGGCTGTCGAAGCGCAAAATAACCAAACAAGTTGCAGAGGTTATAAACGTGGTTGGGACAGAGGAGAGGTTCCTGTCAGAAATGAATAAAAATGAATATGATAAATCGTGGAGTAGCGCGTTGTTAAGGAGTCATTCTGTGTAGAGTTAGGTTTATTTTGAAATGATGTCTGAGAGTGCAGCCTCAGCCTCTTCTGAGCTGTCATTCACTCTGGTTGCGTGTATGATCGGGGAAAAGAGGTTGTTGTAAAATAAAATATGAACTGGAATCGGATTCGTGCCGTTTATCTGTTGCTCTACAAAGGGTCCCGTCGGTCACAGGTGTCTTTTACTGGTTTTAGCACCAATTATGCAAAAAAACGTTTTTCCACCGATATAATTACGTACTGGATAAATAAAATTTGTGGAAGAGAAACTCATTTGGATGGCTGAGACGTTCGGTGTTGCGCTTCCCCATTTTACCACTAGATGCTGTACTTATGCATGGTTAAAGATGTTCTTAAAGAGCAAGTCACCCCCAAATCAACTTTTTTTTGCTGATAAACTAAATAAACGAGTGTCTAATCGTGCTGCAGACATGTGTCGTCAATAATTTGGCATTTCAGTGCATCTTAGTTAAAATTTAAATATTCTGCCTAAAACTGTCAGTGTTGTGCCGTTGTCAGGTAAAAACTCTGCACTGTATTTGAATTTAAATCTGCCACCGCTATTGGCTAAGAGGTATGCTATGATGTAAACTGGTACATTATGATGTCACAATGCCGTTGTGAGCCTGTGTGTGTGTGTATTTGTTAACGGCTCAGCCCTCTCGGTCTGCCAGGCAACAGCATTTGTTCCATTTTTCAAACTTGAAGTGGGGGTGGAGTTAGACTCTTGTAGGGGGTGACTTGCTCTTTAAATTTAGGAATGTTTCTACAAACAAGTACAAAATGATAAATACCACACAATGCATAGATTTGTTCCCACGCTCGAAATATGCACAGATCTGTGCGCAAGTACGTTTGATGAATGAGGCCCCAGGATTTTATTTATCTTGCTTAACTATTTGTGATTTGCTCTTTGCAAGGCTGACGTTTAAATTCATTTTGTAGGTGCTGCAACAGCCTGTTTTTACTGTTCCGGGAGTAAATAAAAAACAAAGGTTTTGTTACTGGTCTTTTCAAACATTGAAAATATTAATAAGGCTCACTTTTCATTATTTGCTGTCACAGGACCGTAAAAGCAGTTTTGTACAGAAATAATAAAACACTTTTAGTGGATGGTAAGAATTAATATTTTTTCAACACTGAAGGCTGTGAAACAATTGCAGCTGTGGTTCATATTCGTGGAAGTGATTCTCAGATGCTTCAGTAATATTGATGTCTATGTTATTGAGACAGATGATGGTAATTGAGCTTTTTCAGCCAAAACCTTCAATAGAATAATGTCCTTCATATTAGATTCAGATGTAAATTCAGGTTTATTCTACCGTTTATCAATTTCACACCTTTTTGTGAAAATTAAGTATAAATGGATAATTAAAAAAAAAATACATCATGGTATCCCCATCAGATACTCTCTGATGTCACACGGGCTTGTAGGCGGGCGTGTAGATCCTCTGAGAGAAAGTGGAAAAAGGATGGCCTACAGGTCTCGCGTGAGTTGTTCAGAGCATCTCTGGTTGCTTATCAGGATGCAGTGAGGGCCGCCAGAATGGCCTATTTTGCAGACATCATTGAGACAAACTCCAATAATCCTAAGATTCTCTTCAAAACGCTAAACTCAGTTCTGGTGTATCAGGAGCCTAGCACCATGTCTCCTACAGCTGCTGGAAACTCTGAAGCTTTTCACAAATTCTTTGTTGATAAAGTGTCGGGCATTAGAGCAGTCATTTCTGGTAACTCTGTTGACCCTGTTCCAGTTCATCCATCACCACCCACCCTGAGCTCCCTCAATACAGTTTCATACTCTGAGCTGAGTAAGCTAGTTGCGAGGCAGAAGCCATCTGGCTCTCCACTTGATGTTCTACCGCCTCGTCTCTGGAAGGCTGCCTTTCCGTGCCTTGGCCCATCACTTGGTCAGATTATCAATGGGAGCCTCAGCACAGGTGTGGTCCCAGCTGCTTTGAAAGCAGCAGTTGTTCGGCCGACCCTGAAGAAACCTGGTGCTGATGTCTCTGTGATAGAAAATTACAGGCCTATCTCTACCCTGCCCTTTACATCTAAACTGCTTGAGAAAGTCGTTTATCAGCAGCTGGTCTCACATTTAGCTGACTCTGATCTGTTTGAGGTTTTCCAATCAGGGTTCAGGTCTGGCCATAGCACAGAGTCGGCTCTACTGAGGGTCCTAAATGACATCTATCTATCACTAGATCACGGAACATCTGTACTGCTTCTGTTATTAGATCTGACAGCAGCCTTCGACACAGTTGACCACGCGATTCTACTCGATCGCTTGGAACGATGGGTTGGGATCAAAGGGTCAGCTCTGGACTGGTTTAGATCGTATCTCCAAAACAGGACATTCTGTGTTAAACTGGGTGATGTTTTTTCTTCTTGGGAGGGGCTCCGGTGGGGGGTCCCGCAGGGATCGATCCTTGGTCCACTTTTGTTTGCCATTTATCTGCTACCTCTGGGGTCAATCTTTCGTAAACATGGCCTATCATTCCATCTGTATGCTGACGATTGCCAGATTTACTCTCCATTATGTCAGGAGAAAGGTCACTCTATCCAGTCCTTTGTGTCCTGTGTTAATGAGGTGAAGTCTTGGCTAATGTCCAACTATCTACATCTGAATGAGGGAAAGACAGAGCTCATTGTTTTTCACCCCAACAGCAGGAATGTGGATCGTTATGCTGATCTTGGCCCTCTTTCTCCATACTCAAAACCAGTTGTTACCAGTTTGGGGGTGAAACTTGATGTAGGACTTAAATTTGATGCTCACATCAATTCTGTGATCCGGTCCAGTTTATTTCACCTGAGACGCCTTGCTAAAATCAAGCATATGCTGTCGAGAGCCCACCTGGAGCGGGTACTGCATGCCTTTGTAATTTCTCGGCTTGATTACTGCAGCTCTCTCTACGCAGGGTTGTGTCAGTCAACACTGCGTCGCCTACAGGTTGTGCAGAACAGCGCTGCCAGGTTCCTGACTGGGACCAGGAAACGGGACCACATCAGTCCAGTTCTGGCCTCCCTGCACTGGCTTCCGATTTCCTATCGCTCACAATTCAAAATACTCGTCTTTGTTTATCATTTCTTCCAGGGTGGTGCTCCCCCCTATCTGGCCACACTCCTGAACAGACATTCCCCATCACGCGCTCTGCGCTCCTCTGACCAAGGCCTGCTCGCTGTCCCTCGGTCTAGGTGTCGTACCCGTGGGGACCGGGCTTTCTCAGTCCTAGCACCGTCACTCTGGAACCAGTTGCCACCCTCAGTTAGGCTGTCCCCTTCTCTGCCAGTCTTTAAGAATCACCTAAAAACACACCTCCTCCGCTTGGCGTTTCCAGAACATGTTTGATTATGGCCCTCTATTATGTTGAATCCAGTCCACAGTTTTCATTGGTACACTCAATCCATCCACTCAATCCAATTGTGTCTCACACATTTGTATTTTACCGGAATGTTTCATCTACCTTGTAATTTCCATTTTGTATTTTGTAATTTGTATTTTGTAATTTGAATTTCTTTTATTGTTGATTTATTCAGTATAATTACTTACAACTGTACCATGTTCAGCGCTTTGGGCTTCCTGACAGGGTTGCGGAAGGCGCTTTATAAATAAAGCTTTGATTGATTGATTGATTGATTGATCAGCGATTGTTAGACTACAGTTGGTATCAAACACCAAATATGCATGTTTTTTCCATTGTTCATATTCATACTTAATTTAAAGATTTGTAACTTTTTTGGAACCAGGCTTGTAGCTGCTGCATTAACCTCTGCAGCTGCTGGCTTTCCTGCTGGGTTTGTGTGATTCTTGACACTCTGGCACATGGACACTTAAGGCTGCTCCCTTGGTAGAGACGAGCCCTCGGGTAGTACTCCGTGGGTTTTGGGCACCACTATAGATCATTACGTTCTTTAATTTAGACCCGTCTACTCGTAAAAGCATGACTGAAAACTTAAAAACCCTCTATTTTGGGGAAAATTTGAATTAAAATGTCCTTATTTATAAAAACTATATTGATGCCAGGGCGATACTCATAATACATTTTTGGAGTGGGTGCAGCAGAGGTATCACTAAACCAAAGTTTTTACCATCATAAGAAATGGAGGGTAGATTGGTTAAGTGTTTGAAACAAGCCAGCCCAACGATTCTGAACTGTAATCTTATTTAACAGCTTTTGAATTGCTCAGAGGTGCGTGTTTAAAAAGTTTGCCCTCTCGTGTGTTTGCACGAGGGTGTCTGGGGATATGAGGCTGCTCTGCTGTTCCTGGGCCAGCTATTAGTCAGGCAGGAGTGGCTAATCTGTAACGGCTGCTGTCACAGCCCTGCTGTGGCTCCTGGTGATGGGTGCATCGTGACGAATGCGCACACACTCACGTTAAGCTTCACGCAGCACAGAAGTTCAAAACACACAGACACGTGCTCTCGTGTTGATTCACTTACACACAAAGAATCATCCATTTGTCTAATAGCGTTAAGACTTCTGACAAGTTCCGCTGCTCTAGTCGTCAGTCCAGCCGCAGGTGATGTGTAGAGAAGTTTGAGACCTTCAGTTACTCTGCTATTGGAACAGGCCCAATACAACCTGACACTACCAGAAAATCCATTCCATCTTTGCTGTCTCTGCCTTGTTTTGTTTTCATCAGTTTTAAAGTAAAAATGGACATTTTTGGCCAAAAAGCAAGGCCAGTTAACCTTTGTTTTCCTGTATTTTTGTCTGATCTTAGAGCACAGTGGTTGTGGAGAAATCCATCCAGGATCTGATGAGCTTGATGCAAGACCTGAGTGCCTACTCCAACCAGTTCCTTGAGATGGTTTGTGACAAGCTCAAGGAATACAAGGAAATCTGCAACACAGCATATAGGTGAAATTATTATTAATATTTTAAACGTTAGTTCCCTTTGCTTTTTAAACACACATACACATACATTCTGGCAATGCAAGGCTGTCTATGCGTGCTCCTCTGGGACTAACCAACACCTGGTCAGGTAAAGGGAGAGTTAGGAAACATGTCCAGATAAAAGCAGAACGGGGCAGGCCACGCAGGAGAGAACTGATGAACTACTGGGAGTCCATATGGGCCGGGTCACAGGTCACACTCAGTCTCAGGGGCCTCTGAGTAATAAAGGCAAGACCAGCAGGGTATGCCAAAGTGTGTTTGTGCATACTGTTAAATTTTCTGTTTTAATATGAGCTCAGGTCATTATTTCATGAGTGCATACTTGTAGATGTGCTATATGTGCATGTAATAAATGTGTCCTATTTATATAAAACTGAGCAGGCTTTTAGATGCATGAAAATACAACGAATGCAAACCAGCACTCTGCCAGTTACGCCACGTTACGTCTGCTATGATATTCTTTTTGTCAGTGCAGAATCTTGTGACTCAGACCCACATGCACTTGAGTTTAATAACTAACAAACCTACTAATTAGCAAGTAGCAAGACTTGAAATGTGGCTTTTGGGTGTTTGTTGTAAGTTATTCATAAAAGCCAAGTTTTGAATATTTTGTGTTCTAACATCATTGAGTTTATCTGGATTCATGTGTGCCCGCAGGGGTATCGTCCAGTGTGAGGAGAAGCTGACCATCAGTGCTTCCTGGTCTAAAGATGAGGACATCAGTCGTTTGCTCCAGTCCCTCCCTAACTGGGCAAACATGACTCAGCCAAGGCAGACGAGGCAGAAGAGAGAAGATGAAGAGGACTTTACACGGTACACGCAGAACACAGTCAGCTGCACATAATGCATAAAATCCTGGTTTTGTTCTATTATTATAAATTATTGTAGCTCCTTTATGTCTAAAAAGTGCTCATAAAAGAAGCCATGATTGCACTTTAAAAGTAACCTTTATTATGGGAAAGTAAAAAGATGAGAACAAAGTAGAATATGAGGAGAGCAGTGTGAGGCAGAGAAAAGACGGGTTCCGTCTTATCGAAACTGCCTCTGAACGTGCACCCTCTTCAGGGAACACTGAGGCTCATTGAAGCGGAATGGTAAAGTAAATACATAAATTGGTTATGTGACCGAAGAAAGTCGATCTGTTGTGTGTGTTCTGTTGCCCCCTCTCTCGCGCTTGCCTTTTTTAGACACACACAGCGGACATGGCGATAGCAGGAGCGAGACCATAAGGCTGTTTGATTTAAGAGCCATGGATGTTTTCATCACAGTGAAACGAGGGATTAGCTTCTGCGCGGCTCTCCACACAGCTCTTAAATGAAACCCTATTAATAAGCTACGCGTTTCTATGTGTGAAGCCTTTTTTTTCTCCCTTTTTTCTTTTAACCCATCTGTTGTTTAAAGGATCTTGATTTTGTGTGCATCCTGGTGGCTCTGGAGGCCAGTCCATATGCTTGAAGTTTGGGATACCATGGTGTTGGAGCTATAGTTAGCCCTACTTCCTTGTCTTGCCCCATCTGTCTTTCCTGTCATAAATTATTCCTCCAACACAACAAGAGCTTCTACATAAAATGCATCTTTACTTTTGCAACTTCCTTTCATAAAAGTCCTCTATTACATGTTGTTTTTGTTTTTCCTCCTCTCAGTGGAACTAATAAGTCCTTCAATCTAAATTAGTTTCTTCATTCACTAAGTCATCGTTTGTTTCTGTCATTGTTTTGTCCTTTTCTTCTATCTAGGAAACCGTCTAGTTAGCAAGCCTGTATCCTTCCTTTCCTTCTCTGGTCATCACTGTAAAGGTCATGGCAATATTTCAGTCCCTCGTTCCTTAGCACGAGCATGACACCATTATACATTTTAGCACAGGTAGTACTCTTGCGTTCCGTTAAACAATCAACCCCATTCTAACTTTTTTGTTTTGCTTTTAAAGGGGCACATAACTTTTTAAAATGTATAATTAGGGATTTGTTTTGGCATGAATCTGGTGAAACAATAAATCTCAATACAGGGGGGATGATTCAATATGTTGCATTACTAAAAGTCAGATGATGTTTGCATTTTTAAGACTGAATTTAGTTAGAAAACTTTGGTCAGCCGCTCAAAGACACATCCAGTGTTCCTGTGAGACTTTGTAGTTCCATCAGAATGAAGGCGGTAAAACCTGCTGCCAGCTAGCAGTCAGAGTTTGAGTCTCACCACACAAACAAATACGTGTTTGCATGTATCAATTCTCTATAAAAAAATGTATACGATTCATACATACATGAAATATGGCAAAATATCAGTGCATCTATACTTATTTTGTCCCTAGCTGTAATAGTTCTTTGTTCTAATCTGAACATGCTTGCAAAGTTCTTTGCACTAAATGTTTTACATAAAGGGATTTCAGTAGTTTTGTTTGTATTCTTTACATGTTCAGTTCCTTCTAGAATGAGCTGTTTCAATGCTCTGTCACTTTAAACTAAAAAGAGCCATTTCTGGCCACGCCCATCCTATCGCATGATTGGCTCCTATGAGGTGAGCTTGAATATTCATCAGGGGCTTTGAGTAGAGTTGCTGCTCCTCTAGTAACTACAGATGGGGGAGTTCGGCTACTATTGTCCTTATTGGGATGTCACAAACAGGAGTGTTCGGAGTCTTTATAGAGACAGTAGAGATGGCAGCACAAAAATATGCAAAGGAAGTTTAGCATAATAAGTCTCCTTTAAAAACTTTAATACAAATCTTTTTTGTTCCTACATTGTGCTCCATCACTCAGGGCTGCTTTTGCCAAGGAGTCAGAGGTGCTGACTGGCAACCTGGGAGACAAGTTAATCCCCCAGAATGAGATCCTGCGTGATGTCAGTGACCTGAAGGCCCTGGCCAACCTTCATGAAAGCATGGAGTGGTTTGCTGGTCGCCTTAAGGTGTTCTTCACCACCCTCCCTCAGACCTCCAGTGAGTAGAAACACAATCCGACTGTATGCTGCTTCTAGCTGAATATACCTTTAGGTAGAATATTGTTTACAAAAATACAAGAAACTGCTTTTTATATTTACAGAACAAACAAACAAACAAACAAACATATGTGCTACTTTTTCTGCCTACATCCTGCACACCCACACAGACAACTGTTGGTGTATACTTCTCCTTCTGCAAACTCAATAACTTCCTTTTAACAGGAGCTCTGATCGGTAATTTTTGTTTTAAAGAAGCCATGTCATGGAAAATCCACTTTTTGGAGTTTTTAACCACTTGATGGTAAAAAGCTACACTTGTCAGTATTGTGTTTTCAACCTTTTGTCGGTAAACAGTTTAAAAAGGAAGGACTAATCTTTTTTTTTTACTTGGTTTTTTAGCCAGAGTCCATGTGAGGTGAGCAGAGTAAATTAACTAAAATGCTGCTTGGAAATGACCAAATTCAAAGTTCTTTAGAATATATTTTGCAGAAAATAATCAATTACCTCATTCACTGGCATTGACGACTAAAGTCGTCATTTTAGATCCAACCGTTGACAAACAGAAAATCCATGTGTTAGGAGATCGTTTTGAGCCGTTCCTGTAAAAAAAAAGTGAGGCATGAACCGGAAAAGCGTCTGCCGATCACAATTCGACAACGGATTGTGAAAGAACGGATAACGCTCGAAACACGCGGATTCTTCCTGATGTAAGAGGTGAGTCTCCTCTTTGTTTTGGTTGTTTTGGCGTCGACATCATCCTAGCACGCAACATTCTGTCACTCTTAAAAAAAACAGTAAAAACGGCGAGAAACGCTGGCAGCGAAGGCCTTTAGCGATCAGGAAACGGCTGGCAGCAAATTAGTTAAACTAAAATATAAAAAAATGAAATCCCCTTCAGTTGGCTAAATAAATTACTGCCATCACAGGGAGTCAAACCGGTGTCAGGACATATTCAAAATGAAAGGCAGATGCTTTAACTGCTGGACTGCCAAGGCCAACACAACAGTGGACTTGCCTAAGATGCTGTTGTAGGTGTGCTTTGTCAGAGCAGGCGCAGATAAAGCCTCACTAAAGCAAACCGTTTCATTTCCGGGTACTAAATCAGGCTGATGAAAATAACTCATATTTAAGGTAAAATGACATCTCAGTAGTGCCAGTGGTAATATTGTATCATATATTGTGCCTACTTTTGCTCTCAGATGGTTTAAAATAGCATGATATGTCATCTTTAATTTGAACGTTTTCTCGTGTCAAACTGGGACACAAACAGAAAGACTTAAGTTCCAATAATTTTACCAACGGATAGATTACTCTGCTGTATCAGTTGTTTTCCAAAATACATTCCTAGAAGTCCATTCATTAGGAATCTTATTGATCTAAATCCCCTCTGGATCTTTGTGAAGGACCTGGTGGCTGTACATTTCTCCTCATTCATACACCCGCTGCATTTCACCTCTTACCTGTTCCTCATTAAGTTCTTGTTTGAGTGTATTATCACACACTCATTACCTTCTCCACTGGAGTTGTGGCACACACGCACGCATGCACGAGCACACTCCTATTATCCCTGGTTCTGCTTCTGTTTAGAGTGTGTGCAGAAATGTCTGCTTTAATCAGAACCCCGTCATGCGCGCTTTCCTCTGTCATCACTTTTGCATCATACATTTTTCCGTTTTTGACTCCAACATGTATTTATATTTTGTCCTCATTACATAAAAAACTTAATTACCACTACTATTGTTACTACTAGTAATAACAATTTTATATCATCCACTTCTGTTTTGGTTCATTGCATTGAAGTTGTTGAAGAATTGTGCACAGCTTTATGCAAAGCAGGTATTTCATAAGACATGTCCTTCCTATTTACCAAATACAAATAACTTGTCTTTTCATGTTTTAATGGACGGGTGCAGGAAAGTGTTCCAAGATGGCAATCAGATTAGCATTTTTATTTGTCTAATAATGGTGAGGGTGGTGTACGGTCATCTGGTAGCCTGATCATTCATTCATGCAATCAGCCAATAACATGGCTGGAGTACAGTGTGTTAAACTATACAGGTCATTATATTCAGCTCTGTTATAAGATCAGGCTGGATTTTAAATGGATGTAAAATATCTTGTTGCTGGTTTTAAGAGGACTGCTGATAAAACACTTTATTGTCTTTTGTGAGTTTGGGAAAGAAAAAGAAGACAGCAACGAGTAATCTCGATATGGAAGTACTTCAAGCTAAAAGACGTAACAGAACAACAAAAACTGTACCACAGATATCCAGACTAACATTGTGATGAGCGATACTTTTAGGCAAATGGGCTACTCACTAATCCAGAATCCACTGCTAATATAAGAAATCCCTGCACGGGGCCCAGGCTTGTTTGGAAGACAGAAAAAAACTAGCTGCTCTTAAAAATCTCCATTTTTATGGGACTGCAGATGGTGGGGTCAGAAATTGGCTTCAGAAGCATGAAATCATGGCACCAGCCTTCCACTTGCCAACAGTCCAGCCTGTCCATGGTGACGTGAGGGGGAGTTCTTTCTTGGCACAACTTTAATGGTTCTGAATACAAATTAATGATTGTTTCGTGGCTTTGACTTACCCATCCTCTAATGGCCTTGGTAATGTACCATGTCACTACATAAAAATCATTAAAAACCAGTTTTTATGAATATTGCAATAAATTCTGGGCATTTCGTTGGCTTTTTTTCCGATGCCAGATCTGAATTCTCCAAAAGCATTACAGTAATAATGTCACGGTCTGCCCCTGCCTCCCTGACTGTCTCTCTCTCCTGCCCTTGATTAGTCCTTATGGTTTTCACCTGCCCCTTGTTTACCTGTCCATGTGCTCCTCATTTGCCCTGTGTATTTATACCTCCCTCCTTGAATCAGTCTTTGTCAGATCATTGTGGTTGTTTGTCATCGTTGTCTTGTGCTGTTCGTTCCCGTCACCATTAAAACCATTTTACTTTATCTGAAGCCTGCATCTTTACCTCCTGATCTGCTCCACCACACATGGTCCATCAACTCCTACACCCACAACGTGACAAATAAATCCTCAGTTGTTTGCAGGATGCTGCCACATGTTTAGAAATTCTCATTGAAACTTTTAGAACAACAAAAATACCTTGTAGGTTGAATTTTGCACAAATTTTCCTTTTCTTTAATGTTCAAAACTTGTATTCATTTAGACCCTGGAATGAGTTCTGACGACAGGATCTCTGTGTCTCCATCATAAAAGTGTGTTTTTTAACTTTCATCTAGCTTTTGCCTTAGTTGTCAGTGGGTTACAGTATCTACACAAACTGTGCTGGGTGCACTGCAGTATCTGGGTCTGCCTTCAGAGCTGTGGGAGTTTCTGCACCTTTCTGAGAGGAGTAAAGAGGACTTCAGCCATTATCAGCAGTTGTCACAACTCTCAGGCTTCAGACTTGTGATTGCTCATTGAACTTGCACTATTTTGCTGTTCCATATCGCAGCTTTTCTTTAAAGAATGAAATAATTAAATGTGAAATATTCTTATTTGGGGTTGACTTTGTCACTGCAGTATCTCTCTTTAAACACTTTTCTCTCACTGCGACGACGGCTTTCTTTGTCCGTTCACAGATAAGAATTCAATGAAAGTGCGGGACGGGACGGGACATAATTATCATTAATTCCAACGGGTGGCACTAATAAGAAGGATAGGGCAGTGACTTATCATGCTGGGACAGCCTCCATATTGTTCATTATTTAGTGTTTGGCGAGACGATGACGGGCTACATGTGCGTAGGTTTAAGTGCAACATGCATGTGTGTACACAACTGTGCAAGATGAGACGAGCATACAGGAGAGAGAAAAAAGTACCCGCCTTATCTCTTCTTCCACCCCCCAACTCCACCACACACCTCACATCTATTTCTCTCTAAATTGGATTTTATATTACAGAAGCAGTCAGGTATGAACAAGTCATTTTCCTCTCCTCTCCTTGTTTTGCCTTTTTCTCTCTTTCGTTTCTCCTCCTTACTTTTCTGATTCCTTCCTTCTCTGCATTTTCACCTGTCACTCTTTTTGCATTTGTTTTATTTTCTTCCCTCCTTTAAAGAGTATTTTTTAATTTAATTGTTGGAATAAAATTTGGCCATGGTCGTATGATCTCTGAGATTAATATTTTAACTGGTAAAAAAAAGATGTAAGATGTAAAAAAGATGTAAAATAAATAAAAAACATGAAAATATCACATTTGATTACATCTTTTTATTTTATTTTGTTTACTTTTATGATTAATTTTTTGTTCCTGCAGATTCAAGAATCTTTGGATCATAAATGTGTGCATGGATGTAGACTCTGAAGGTGGGAACAGAAAGTGTTTGCACCAGTGGACGTCTTTCATGTGCAGGCAATATTTACCCAGCAACACAAACACCTGAGGGAAGCATCTACCTGGCAGATGTGTTGTTTTTCACGTTGATCGCGCAGCGCTGCATGTATGAATACATTTGACTTGTTAGTCTTAAATTTGAAATCTTGAAATGTGAAATCTTAATAGGGCTATGCTATAATTGGATCTATTTTTTATTTTGGTTGTAAATTAGCTCCAAACAATCCCAAAAATCATGTATTATTGAAATTGTGTTCTCATAATCTCCTTTGCAAGAATGCTTTCATTCTGTTTTGCCTTATGACTGAAGCACACATCTGTCCCTTCTCAAAACTAAATTCACACTCGGTATTTTAAAATATAAGGACAAGTAAAGATGGAAGACAAAACAAAACTATTTTCAGCATCAAGCTATTTTTTCCCCCATGGTTCATTTTCTAATGATTGTTACTTCTGAAAAAGCGCATTTATACCCTTTTTTGGACTCCTGGGCTTCTGTAGCAGCTCTTGCCTGCTTTTGTAGCATGTTTTGTTCATGTGACTGATTCATCAAGTAGACAGTTGAGTTAAATTAGTTGATGTTTACTAGAATTTGAAATGGATAAATGTTACAGAACTGTTTCTTATACAGGTTAACCTAAAAATTAGAAATGGTGCAAGAATTCATCTATTTCGGTGATTTAGACTGAGAGACCATCTAAAGGCTCAAGAACCCTTTGCAGGTGTTTGGGATTCATTAGCTGATTAGAGTGTGATACTTTGAGGCTAGAATATTGAACCTTTTCACAATATTCTTGTCCAAAATTTAGAATTTGGGGTTTTCATCAGCTGTAAGCCATGATTATCACAATTATAACAAATAAAGGCTTGAAATATGTGGCTTTTTAGGTTTAATTACTTAAATATACTTGTGCTGCCCCAGTTTTTTTTCTGAATTTTTCTGCTAGCAGCAATTAATGAACTTGTTCATAAACGGTGTGTTCTTGGTTTAACATGATCATCATTAGGGGGTGAAGATTTTAGGCCTCCAATTAGTAACCCCCAAATTCCACTACCTCCGCTCCGCTCCGGCACGAACTCCACAGCAAAATCGGTCCCGTTGTAGTCAATCAGAGCAATTCCACTACTGCGGCCGTGCTGCGGCAGTGCGGCGCAGCGCGCCGCCCTCTGTTCCGGCGTCCGGCAAAAATAGAATCGATCCTATTGGACGCCGGAGCACCTTCGCAGTCAATGGACAGGAATCACAACCGCCCAACAGGAAAGGGAGCAAGCACAGCTTCCGTTATTTCACAATAAATCGATAAACAAAAAGCGTTTTTTGTTTCATATGCACAGGTTTAACAACTTTTAACAACTATCAATGGCAGCTGAACTTTAAATGCACAAAATAAGCCATAAATACAGTTTCCACTATCAAAGTAGTCACCCTTTGGTGATCCAAACACTGCTGATCTCTCAACACAAATGATGGGCAGATTAAACTGTTCATTTCGATGCTTCTCCTACACAACGGGTGTTTGGATATAACTTCCGCGTTTATTGCTCTGACTGTATCGCAAGATCTCGAAAATCCCGCGCATGCCTGTTTGCGCACCTCAGGTCTCCGCACCGGAGCGGAGCCGTTGTAGAGCGGGTACCAGTAAAAATTGAGTTCGGAAGCGAGCGGCTGCGGAGGGCGGGGGCGGAGCGGAGCGGAGGTAGTGGAATTTGGGGGTAATTATGTCATCTCCTTTTAACAAGAGACTGCTGTCATCCTACTGCCTTAGAAACGACTACAGTCAGTCCTGGACTTTAAGATTCACCGGTAAGCTTACTTCACTGTATTTAACTGGAGGATTTCATTACTAAACTATCAAGTTTACTAGAAATGCCTGAAGTTCAAGTTTGAGATGATTTTGGATTTGACTCTTGAAAGTAATTTATGGTTATTGTTAGTCTGGGCAACCGTTCAGGTTTTGGTTACAGATGTTCATCCTTCACCAGATGCAGCAAAAATAAATATCAGCTGCTCTTCTTGCTCATTCAATCTGTTGTTTATGTGGCATGTAGTACTTAATGCTTGTAAATTATTGTTTTTTCCCCCACTGTTTTTTGTCATTATTTTTTTCTGTTGAGAAGAAGAGGTTGTCTCTGATTATTATATTTTTAATGGCTCTTTTTGCATATGCATCTCTCACTGCTTCATATTGTTTCAGTGATTCTCCTCAGCAATCAGCAGTGCATTTGGCCAAGCAGGACACCGCATGTAGCTTTAGATGTGCAAACATGAACTGTCCCTGTCAGTGTGCACCTGCATGCTGAGTGTTTGTGTGAAGATCCCATCACTGATCTTCTCCCTCAATGTCTACCAGGCTCATCCTCCGCACATGGCAAGCAGCAGATGCTTCCCTTAGATGGAATTCAATAATAATTGGATAAACATAGTGCACTCTAGCATACACATGCATACATGCATGCTTACACATGAGTGCATAAAGAAATCCAAGAAAATTCAGAAACTCACATTTAGTCATGCACACACAAAGAAGTCATCATTTAAGAGTTGGTGGTGTTTTAGATGTAAAGGTAGCAAGAAAAGGAAAACAGAGCAAAAAAGTTGTCAGTCGGGACCAATGAGTCGTCTCCTTTAGCCCGTCTGTCCCTGAGTCTAATGGTGCCCCCCCATGCTGCGATGCCTCCCTCGCATCATCAAAGCAGCACAGGCCTGCGACGTCAGGAATTGGAGTTTATTTTTATGCATGTGTGTGTGTGTGTGTGTGTTTGTGTCTGTGTGTGCGCTTCATAGAGGCCCCCCTAGAGAGACCTCCTGCTGCGTGTGCCACAGTAATCCCCTCTTTTTTCTTTCTGTCAGAGTGACTGATTGTAATGCACATGAGAGGAAACAGGCCTTTGAGTCACTTTCATGCATATGCCCATGTGCATATACACTGGCACTTCATGGAGGGGAAACAAACACCCCTGCCGGGGCAGAGCATGTTGGACGTGTCCCCCCTTCCAGAAGCAACAGAGACTAAAATGTTTTATTACATAAATGTTTTATATGATGTGCTTTCGTTACCGTCATTTAATCCAAAAATGCAATTATTGATTCTGAATATACAGCCCTCATACTGATTATTACAGCACTTATTAATAGTGCAGTGACCTTTTTGTTTTGGCAAAGACGATTATCAAAAAGTGGGTGTATTTCTTGGGAAACATTTGTTTCTCAAAATGAAAACAGCAGACTTCCAGAAAACAAAAGACAGCTGGAGATTGCTAATTAAGCTTGTAGTGCTGTAATTGTTCTTAATGTGTCTTCATCTTTTATTACGGTAAAGATGGCATTGGCACAGTGATTTTCTAGCTTGGCAAACCATCCTATATATGTGAATGTGTAGTCTAGCCACAACCCATAGAAAGAGCTCCGTCGAGGGGTGGAATCTACGGTTGTCTTTCAAACTATTGGACTATTGGGCAAACTATTTGCATGCTACTGGACAACAAACAATGTAACAAACTTTCTGTTATGGATATCAGTCAACGGGACAGTCCGCCATACACCGTTGAAGATGCAAATACATAATTTTTCTAAATAACGGACTTAGTTACCTCTATCTGCTGTTGACTCAAATAAGAAGTCTAACTAGTCCAAAAATTCCAAAGCCATTTCAGATGAGCTGCCATCATCTCAGTTGTTCCCACCCACCAAACCAATGGAGCACCGTGATTGGACCACCAGACTGATAGAGCCCTTTGATTGGCAAGACAAAAGACAGTTTTGGCCTGCTGAGGTTCCAATGGAGCATGGCTGGACTGACATGCCGAGCAAAATCATTTTTATTTTTTTAGTTACTGTCTGTCTAGGTTTCTAGGATAGTGTTTGTCTGCTTTCACAATTCAAATCTGTGAGTTGTTGCATGTGCCATTGCTCTTTGGTCCTCTTTTGATCTTTTAGAGTGGCTGTTTAGGATACTTGGTTTCATCGGTCCTTTCAACAATCATTTTGGCAACAACTTTGTGTTTTGTTGTTTTGTATTTGATAAGTTGGCTGGGTAGAATAAACTGCTTCAGCTAAACGCAATTAAATTAGGTCGATTAATGTTGTGGTACTCTAATCTCAAGAGAAATTTGTATTTGGATAGTTTTTAATCAAGAACAATCGTTGTTGTTGCAGCCACTTATTTGGGTTTATACTGGTCTAAAGATTTACTTTTGCCCTGCTTTCTTCATTGTTGTTTTTATTTATTTTTTTGTTGCAAATATATTTTTCTGATCTTAGTATCTTTCAAGTGTTTTTACAACTGTGTCAGTGTTCACGGACCATTTAAGAGCCTTGCTGATGTGCACCCCCAGAAATGTAAAACTGGGCAACCTCTCTACCTTCTCACCCTTAACCTCGAGTGGCCTGAGCTCCCCTCTTCACCTCCTGAAGTCAATAACAAGTTCTTTATTTTTCAAACTCGAGTCCTTTTCTGCACCTTGTCTCTGTTCCACTCCTGCGATGAATCTTGGAGAAGCCAATCCATGGAGATCTCTGCTCTTCTCATCTCCGCGGCTGGATTTGGGGTATATTATGGAAAGTACACAAAGTTGCATCATCCTTGCAAACGGCCATGATACAGTGTTTTTTTTTTCAAGCGCAAAACTAAACATACATTGTGGTTTTCATATCCAGCTTTTATATCAGAACATAGTTAATTCCTGGTAATTAGGTAGTGCCTCCACCCACAGCAAATAGTCTAACAATGCTGTCATTTCCTCCCACACACACAGCATATACCTTACTCAAGAAGACAGTTAATTAGCAGGTAATTTCATACACACAATACACACTCTGGACATTGTGTATACACTTCCTAACTCCTCATATCCTCACCTTTAATGAGAAACTGAATTCTCAGCCTTTATCGCTGTGTGTCAGATACACGGGCTGTAAGCGTAGCTGTCACCAGGTGTCACATCACTACCCTGGCTGTGTTTGCTTTGTTGATTGGACAGCCAGAGAAGACACTGCAGTGCTGTTTCCCAAGGTCATTGCTTTCTTATCTTACAGAGGTTTGTTTAAAGAAGCTACAATAAAAACTGGATTCAGCACATAGTAAATTTAATCTGATGTAAAAAGTGAAAAAAGGTGATGGTTCTGAAACTGAAGAGTTACATCCTCTTTTAGTTTTGTTATCTTCTTCAGAAAGGTGAAGGCAGATCACCGGGTTATTTTGGGCTTAGTAGTTTACTGCACTGTCCTTGAGTGAGTGAGTGTGTGTGTGTGTGTGTGTGTGCGTGCATGCACGCACAGTTTTGTACAGGCTTACATTTGTGTGTGACCTTCGGAAGGGCAAGAAGAATAAGTATGGAGCGGAGTTTGACTGCGGCACATCGATCGTGGACCCCTGCATTCTCCTGCTCACCAGACACACACACACACACACACACACACACACACACACACACACACACGCCTCATTGGCCAAATAGACTTACATATGAGTGACGGGGCCAATTCCTCTCAGTTTCCTCCCCTTGTTAATTTATGGCCATTGATCTACACTGAGCTGAATTTATATAAACTCATCATGCTCTCTGACTTTCTCCCAGTCACACACTCAGACACGCACACACACACACACTCACACTCAGGACTTTTGTGTGGCTTGCAATGTGGTGCAGTGACACATGCTCCTGCTGCATCAGCACTAGTGGTGAGAGAAAAGTATAAAACATGTTGAAGGACTCTGGAAGCGTGTGAAGTTGAACTGGTGGTTCGACTTCACATGCTCATGAATGACCTGGTGTTATGTTCTCATGAAGCATCTTCCTGTTGAAGGTAGATCACAGTCTAAATATTTAGCAAGTTCCTTTTCATCAGGCCCCAGACACAAAAACTTTGTTTTCACACTTTTAAATAATGGCACCTTTATTATCTTCAGCTGCACTTGTTTAGTGTTACTCCTTTGATTAATTTTCCTGTTTATGTCTTCTCGTTTGCGTCTACTCAGCTGCTTCTCCATGCTCCACCGACAGCCAGGTGCTTGGTGAGAGTGAACGGAGCAAGGAGCAGATTCTTCAGACTCTGGGTGATCTGTCTCGAGGTTTCCAGGAAATTGCTGACTGTTGTCTCCTGGTGTTGCATCTGGAGGTCAGGTATGCATCAGAAAGTGTTTAAGGTGTTTAATCTTGTTGTGCTTCGTTTTGATGTAATCAGTTCCAGATTCTTGATCTGGATGTTTTAAATTAGACTAAATTTAAATTTATCAGAAGAAAAATTCAGTTGCAAAATTTTGCGTCGTTACATAAAAAATTACATTTATTTGGTATAAAAATGCACATTTATTTTGTGAAAAAATATTTTTATTGATCAGTGTTTGTTTTCTTAATTTTGTCCAAAACTTACTATTTCTGAGGTGACTATGCTGTTAGTGAAATGTAGGAAAGGAAAAATAAATAAATAGTAATAATAACAATAATGCTTGCTTTAAAAATAAATTATCCGATAATCTGTGGTAATTTTTTAAACCTGGCATTTTTACGTGAATATTTTTTGTTTGTTTTATTGAATTTTGAAAGGTCTTATAAAAGACAGTGTTTTGAAACAAAATAAATCTTCCTTTGCATTGGTATTATCTTGATTTCTGAGCTCATCAGGACTCATATTTGTATTGCGGATGTGACCTGACACATCTAATGATGCAACGCCACCAATAGGTGTTGTGTTTGGCTCACACTGTGTAGCGACATAGCAACAAATCTAATTTATCTTTCACAGCAACAGACAAATACCTAGAAACATTTAAAAAATAAACTGCTCAGTTACTACATACTGACAGAGGCTGTGACATAAAATTCACTGAGCTAAACAGGAATTGCACAAACACTAAATGTTTTAGTTCAGTCCGCTGTTTTCAGTATGCGATTAGAATGCCAGCACATGAGTTCATTTACCACACCATATACTTTTTCACTCCTACCACCACTAATAGTTCTCCATCATCCTTTTCCATCCCTCCCCATAGTCCACTGTGTAGCTTATGCAATATTGTTGATGATTTCAGTAGAAAACCCTCCCTGAGGCTGATGTCTAGCTATATGCTACACTCCATTGACTCTCCCCATCTAGCGAATTTCCCCTGATGGTGGTACCGGCTAAATGAAGCCATGAGGAAGAAAAAAGAAAACAAAAAAGGAGGAGGAGGATAGAAAGGAAGAGATGGAGGAGAGATGAGTGAGGTTAACGTGTTTGTGAGGGTTACAGAAAGATTCTACAGTAGCTAAGTGGGGATAATGATTGAATAGCAAAAGAGAGAGCGAGGAGAGATGGAGGCCTTCGATTTGCAGAAGAGGTTTGGGCTTTGCCTTAAGGCAGGGGTCGGCAACCTGTTCCCATCAAAGAGCCATTATTACCCGTTTCCCACAGTAAAGAAAACACTTGGAGCCACAGCAGCTGCAGCGTTGTGGGCGGGGCCTACCCTCAGACAGCAGAGAGCTGCTCACAACAGGTGACAGCAGCCAGTACCGGTCGCTCGTGTACGTCAAAGTTATCTTTCATAAGACGATTATCAATAAAACGATTTATATAAAGTGGATCCAGAAGTTGTAGCCCGTCTCTGCCTTCAATATTTTGATATTTTTCACCCTGTTGATGGTTTTAATGAGCAGGTGCCACTTTTGTCATACGTTTCTTTTTAAAACATGTTTAGACTGTTCAGAATACAAATCCAGGCTCTGTCACGTTTGATTGTTGTAATTAAACTTTGTAGGTGGGGAAGGTTAGAAAAGCATCCGATCAATTTGTTTTTCCCTCATTTACAGTGACGGAGATAACGGCGCAGTGCGCCAGGCTCTGGTGTTAATCAAGTTTAATTATATCTCTTTGCAACAATTTTCACAAGAAAACAAAACAGTTAAAAGCAGGGCTTGTGTTGACCGGATAGTTCCCGTATTTGACCGTTTATTTTGACGGAGAAAGAATAGAAAGAATTACTCCGACACATGCAGACGAACTGACATTTTATTCGTTACACACATCGCAGATGTAGCTAAATCACTCAAGAAAAGATTCCCATCTGAACATCTGAGCTGGACACTGCTCAGCGCAGCTCACTGTCAGCGTGTACTACATAAGGTCCACAGCGAGCTGAAGATGTGGAGAGGGACTTGGAGCGCGTCGCAGAACCAGAGCGCATGCAGGAAAATTCCTCTGACTGAAGCGAGACTTGTCACTTAGAAAATGTTCCCTGATTATGAAACTTTGGCTGAATAGTGCTTGTTCCTGTCTCCAATGTGGCGACACATCCAGGAGCCGTCTGAGGAGAAGCCCAGAGTCTCACATCGTCTTCAGCTCAGAAAGCGCCTATGATTACACACAAGCGTGACGCGTCAACCCGGTCTCACAGTAAGACCGGGTTGGAACTGTTCAGGTTTACGCAGACAATCTTTACATTTAGAATTAGCATACAGATGTAAAATTAATGCAGTAAAATATAAAGCTTTTTATTTAAATATCCATTCATTATTTTACAAGCACAGAGAGCCGCATCAGATGGATGGAAGAGCCGCATGTAGCTCCAGAGCCGCTGGTTGCCGACCCCCGCCTTAAGGGGAAGAGACATTCATCCATATCATTTCATACACTCCTGTTCTGGGCATTGTGATAATGAAATTACTAAAGTGTTGACTTCTTAAGTCCAGGCAGTGTTAGCCTTCTGGTCCTCAAGGATACCAGAGATGTACAGTAGGATGTAGAGTGAACACAGAAATGTCACATTTTGTGAAAATATGTCAGATTTGACTCCAGAAACCATTGGATGCTTGTGCATTTTAATTCCAGCTTTATATATGTATATATATATATATATATATATATATATGTGTGTGTGTGTGTGTGTGTGTGTGTGTGTGTGTGTGTAGTGAATTAACAAAGTTTTGATTTTAGTGGTGTTAACATCCTTGCTGCATTTTATTAAAAGCCATAAAATGTATTTTATGTTGGTTTTCTATTGTTTGGTGCTTTGTCAGGACGTTACTGCAGCTGTTTTTACTAGTTTGTGAACATTTCCCTCTTAAAGTTAGTCTTCATGAAGTTACATTGACCACAGTCATATTGGAGTCACATGACCATGTCAAATTAATCTCATCAGACAGTGTAGTTAAACAATATGTTAAATCTATTTGAGTGTTTTTGTTGCCTTTTAAAAATATTTCAGTTAAAGTGTTATTTCTATTCACGCATTTTCTAATTTGAGTGTCAGCCTTTAGAGTTAAAACAATTTTCTTTTATAAATGGTTTTAAAAAATCTTGTTCTAAATGGTTACAGGCCTAATTACATGTTACTGTGGCATAAAAATAGTGTTTTACTATAACAGCGACTGGAATTAGCTGTCGATTTCCAACATGCTTGTAAAATATTCTTTAGAAATGTGAAGCATGTTCAGCGTGGCACCCAGCAGCTCTCAGATTGGCTTAATGATATCCAGCAGTGATGTAGTGGTAGTTGAGTGAGAGGATATACTATGGGTACTTAAGCAGAATGATTTCTATAGCATTTATATGGTTTAAAAGCAGCAACACACTTCACGTTCTAACCACTTATTCTCCCAAGGACACAGAATAATATATGTAATTTACGTTCAATGTTTTTTTATTTTCGCATTT